AAAAAAAAATGAAAAACAAATGTATGCTATCAAAAATTAAATTTGCATTGGAAAAAGAAGGTTTCAATGCAGAAAATAACAGTATTTCCACTTTAAAACTTGCAGAGATGATTTCTAACTGTTTTGACAGATCGTTCCAAATCTTGTCGAACAGTTTTACGAGAGTGCAATTTTCATGATGAAACTCTTCCTAAGATACCGTATGTCAGCAAAAGTAAAGTACACAAAGTAAATTTTGTTACAATTGAAATATGCACAAAATATGTTACTAAAGAATATTAAAAGTAATCGATACAAACTAATATTTTAAAACGAATACAAGATAAATATTTTTGAGAAATGTTATTTTTTGTCAGTCATTACAGTCTTAATTATTATTATATTTATTAGTTCATTGTATTGTATATGCAGTTTACGTTCATTGTAAAATGTAACTTGTTATTATCTTATAAATTAATATTTTATATATTCATGTTATAAATTCATGAATAAAAATTATAAGCTCTTTATTTTGCTTTATTTATTTTTGAAATAAATAAAATAAAATTCAGATTTTTTTTTGTTTGAAATCTTGATATAAATTTTTGAGCGGTAGTAATTCAAATATCTTTCTGAAATTTTATAAAAGTCGTATGCATAATGAATAAAGAAACATACATATATATATATACGTTATCTCTGACGTTTAATTTGAGCTATATAAAGAATATTTGATCTTTGCACACGTTATCATGATATGTTTATGATGGCTATATTTTTTTGTCATGGAAACGAACTATTCCTTAGAATCATGAAGAACATTTTACGTCGAATTTGGACTTACATTTACAAGTACAAGTCAGTAATTATTTAATAAACACAAACACATTTCTATAAATTATTTAGTATCTTAAATTTAAAATTCATCAAATTTTCTATTTATTTCAACTAAAAATTTATTTTCAAAGAATTGAAATATATTCCTCGTATATGTAATATGTAACAATATATGTGCTTTTGTTCAAATATTAAAATTACATATTACTTGAAGTTTGGAATTATGGAAACGTGATAGAATAAATAATAGTACGATAGAAAGAAATTACACTAATATAAATTAATAAATAAGTTACTGCGTTTATCATATGTGAGAAATCTGCTTTTGAAATTTCGCGCTCAAAGCGAAATACTAATTCGTTTCAATGCGTTCGAGCGGTTGCAGCGCAACCAGTCGTAAGTTGTCTGTCTTCAGCGAAGGAGTGGTAAGATATTTGTTCATTATATCAGTTAACTCACATGCGCTTTTGTTACTAATTCATGGTATTAACAATTCGGTATTCAAATTCTTCGAATACAGTGATTCAGCAACTCGACGAATCCTCGTCAAAGAGAACAAAGGCCGTATACGAAGATGTGCGGTGGTTTTACGTGCTCTAAAAATGCATTGACGGCATTAAACATCCTTTATATTGTAAGCAGAATTTCCGGAACCAAGTCTGTGCACACCACAAAATTTTTAAACAAATGCATTTGGTTTTACTTTTAGTTACCACGCACTTTATCAAATCCTACGACATACCTGCTGTAAAATAATTCTTTAATTGCTACCATTATCGAAAGATTGTTTTCCATGTATACAAATATAAAACACTAGAGAATATTTTCTTTTATGGAAAATTGAATACTTTGGTATCATTATATCCACATAGTAATGCCTAATTATTTTAATAATTATTTTACAACAATAAAACTCTAAAAATTGTGATAACAATCATAATAAATACATACATGGAACTATTAAAAAATATGAAATTACAATCGATATTTAAATGTTCGCTAATATATTTCTGAGTCTTATAAATTTTGAAAATTATATTTTAATGATTTTAGGTTGTTGCGTTTATCCTAATCGGCGTAGCTGTTTATGGAAGAGCTTCTGCATTAGTTACAAATCTTCCTATAATTGGAGGTATATTAGCATGTGGTGTTATTTTGATTCTAATTTCTATACTTGGTCTGATTGGTGCTGTTAAACATCATCAAGTTCTATTATTCTTCGTATCCTTTTAAAAAAATACAATATATGGATAATTTTAATTTTATTTATATTATTATATACAAATAATATATTTTCAAAAACATATTTTGTATATAATATATTCTTATTATAATCCTTAATAATAATTTTATAGTACATGCTTATCTTATTTCTACTGTTCCTGATCCAATTCAGTATTGCCTGTGCTTGTCTTGCTGTCAATACCAAACAGCAAGAACAATTAGCAGAACAAGTAATATTAATATTTTGTGTATTTGTCATTATGTTTGATAATAGGAATGATATTTAATTTATTACTTTTAGGGTTGGAAACATGCAAATGAATTAATTGATAAGGTTCAAGAAACTTTCAATTGCTGTGGCTTTAATGGCACTGAAAGCACATATACAAATAATTCAGATCCATTAATTGAATCCTGCAAAGCTGTAAGTATAATTTAATATATATCAAATATATTTATTTATATTAATAACATATAACATTGTTTTGATTTTTCAGAAAATTTGTTGCCCATATCTTACGGAAGCTGATTGCGAATGTCCATCTTGCATGCAAAAATTACAATCTACGATTGATTATGCCTTTAAATTATGTGGCAGCATAGGATTGTTCTTCAGTTTTACCGAGGTGAAAGTTCATGAATTATTTTATATACTATATACATTCAATATATATATGTTTAAAAAATGCAATGTGAAAATTTATATAATGCTTAATAGCATTACATTTGTGAAATTGTTTTATTTTGTTAGAAAGAACAGTGATTTACTTCACTTTACTTTAGTAAATGTTAACCTGTTAACCCATTGCAGTTTGTTGGTGTTTGGTTGACCGTGCGGTACAGGAATCAGAAAGATCCACGAGCTAATCCTAGTGCTTTCCTCTAGTCTAATACCATCGCTATGTCCTCTGTCACCTCATATGATCCTCCTAATAGATGGTGGGTGGTTTCATGTTGTGATTTTCTATTTTATATATTGATTCTTAGGAGAATATTTTTTTATTAGTCACATTTTATGTATATAACATAATACCATTTCACATTTATGTAATTTAATATATATACATATTAATTTTATTAAATTTAAGAATTAATTTGATACAAACTATATACATTTGATTTCTAGGTGATTGCAGCTTTCTTGGCTAAACGTTACAGAAATCAACTAAATTCACGTTCAAAAGCTGTTTTTCCTTAGTATACTTTTATTAACATATTTTATATATTTTAAAACAAACATTTTTAGTTGAAACTGAATTCTGATAAGTAATAAGGTGGCTGAATTGTCAGGATCAGAACCTTGCTTACATTTAGAACTTTGATTTATGTTTAGAAATATTCAATTGTTCAATAGCTTAAACTTAATTTTTACTTCATAGTACAAATATCATTTTGCATGTAACACCTGGATATAATTCTTAAGGAAGTTGGTCTTTCACTGGAGTTTGTAATGCTCAACAGAAAAAAAACCAGCACATTTGGAACAGTCATAAATTTTTAGAACAGATAGATAAATGTGTGCTCTAGTCATTCATTTAGAACGATCATACTAAGCCTCAATGCGCCTTGTAGTTTAATATGTAGATACATTTATGCAAGCGCGTTTCTATATTTGTTTATTTATGAAGCATAATTTATAAAATCCATTAATTCTAATTGTTAAATTAATTTTCTATAAAGAAACTTATTGAAAAAATGTATTGTTTTAAATAGATTCTAGAAAAGTATTAAATATCGTTTGTTTGTCTATATAAATTTTTTAATTTACTATAAATTTTTTCTACTTTAATTTTTATAAATATTTATAAAAATTATACATTCGCAAATTATGTAATAATTCATAAATTTTTCAAAATAAGTTTCACTATATGATACTAATCAGACAAATTTAGATCAAATTATCTTTTATCAAAATATCATAATAAAAAAAATGCAACTTCGTTGTGAATTATAAAATATTAATAGTTAATATTTCGCTAATGAATCAAACATATTAATCCTACAATAAAATATGATGCGGTAAATAAGACATTACGTAGATCTTGACATATTATCATAATACTGCCGTATGTATAATAATATCATAATTACTACATTACCAATTTTAAATTTATAATATGCTTCCTCTAATTTTAATATTTACTTTTCTTCATTGTAAGGTTTTATTAGACTGTATTCCTAATTCTTATATACAATGCATTTAAAAAGTATTTTAATTAAAGCTTTTGGATTAGTTTACCTACAAGATAAACTATTACTTTAATAAGTTATATTTAGAAGCTTTATTAAAATGATTAATATCCATTAGAATTTAATTTTATAATTGATTTAAATTTAAATAACAATATTGGTTATATATTACATTATATAATAAAAATCTCTTATTAAAATACGCATTTAGATTCTGCATATTTTATTTGTTTTAGTATTTTATTAAATATTTTCTTTTTTAATTTAAACAAAACGGCAATAAAATTAATTAAAAAGTAACAATATGGTAAAGTTATCTTTTAGGGATATTAAGTTTTTTTAGTTTATTCTATGTATTCTTATGTATTATGTATTTTTAAATATAAGAATGTATATTAACCCTTTTAGTCTATAAATTTTTTAGTCTATAAATCGGGCTACTGTCGAAATTGAAGGGTAATTTAGTTAAAAGAATAATATAATGAAAATATTCTAACATTCCTTTTTTTATCATAATTAATTATAATTGAATATAGAGTAATTCATTAATATTGGGACATTAAATATTGAAATTGTATAATTTTGTAAAAAAAAATCGTACAGCAATAAATCTAGACTGATTTTAAAGCTTTTGAAGCCTCTACTTTCAGAATGTACGTAATAAAAGATGTATTAAATGGCAAATTAAAGATAGTTTCCCTTTCGAAAATGCTATAAGCTATATACGTAAAAACATTGAAAAGTTCTTTTCATAATTAAATCTATAATGGATTTCAAGATCGAAATCTCCCCTTTACAATAATTCTCCAAAATGTGTTGTACAATTTTTTTTTCGCTAATTTATTAAACTTTCAGATAAAATATCAGATAAAAACGAATATAACGACAAAAATGTTGATTTCTTGATTTTTTGTAGCTAGAGCTAATATTTAAAGTTTAAGAAAATAATGAAAAGGAATACATCAAGCTTTCGGAAGTTGTAAAGGGGAGGCTTCAGTCTTCAAATCTATTGTAAATCTAGTTATGAGAAAATGTTTTTACATACTATGACAATTTATGGTATTTTGGAGAGGTATATTCACTTGTCCATTATGTGACTTAAAAACATTTTAGAATAACATGAATAACATTTTGACAGTAGAGATTTTAAGTTTTAAAATCAGTCAAGATTTATTGTTATACGATTGTTTTTTACAAAATTATAACAGTTCAAATATTTAGTGTCCAAATATTAATGAAAGTCACTGTACATTTTATTGTATACTCAATTATATATCATTCAATGTATAATTTCTCTGAGTATGAAATATTATAGAGTATATTATAGAGTATATTCAACTATATATATGTGTCTCAAAATAAATAATAAATGCAGTGATGTAATTCATATATATAATTTTTTCGAAAAGTGAAAAGACAATTCATGAGAAATGTGATTCGGAGATAATTTGTAATGAGAATATCGATTGAAAATATAAACACACATACTTTATTAGACATCTTAGTAGGTAATTAACTAATACATTACATTATGTATATCAGTTACATGTAAAACTATTAGTTAAATGCATTTCTTCCCAAATAAATTTTTGTACCTATTCCATATGAATGCAAGAAATATTGCTTAAATATTTAATAAAGAAATGATTTGTTACGATATTTATGTTAATAAAACATACTTGATGTTATGGTATTTACTGGAAATATTTTACAACTGGTAGGAATATTTACTTTTAATTAAAATTTCGCAAATTCTTTATGAATATCACATTTTCGATATTGATTAGTTTATTACTATATTAGTTATGATACTGTTATTTATAATACTATAGTTATAATTGTAATTATACTATTGTTACTAACCTATCTTGTAGCATCTTTTGTTTAAATAAATATATATAAATTACAAATAAAATTGTGAATGGATATTTTAGTCATTATTTGTAAAATGATTGATGTATATATTTAATCATAATAATATAATTAAGCAATTATGCTGAACAAGTAATAAAATATTTATTATTAAATTCGTTCACCTATTACACATTAGTAACATTAATTTTTATATAAAGATTTTAAATAAAGAATTTAAATAATAAAGAATTTAAATAATTTGAAATTTTAATAAAGCGATCGATAGTGTAGTTCTATCGATTTCTCGAATCGATTGTTCTACTTTGAAATGGCTACTTCGAAGCACGCGTGTCAAGTGAGTTATTGGTGTTGATAAACAAAGAATTTTAATAAAACGGCTGTTAAAAAGTTATTTGTTAGTCGTCGACATTGTCTGTCGACGCCTAAAATTTCAAAATATATCGGGACGGTGACAAAAATACGGCAATTACGACGGAGTGTCAAAATAAGAGTGACAACGTCGAAAGTGACGTTGAGGTTATGGACAACTTCGTCAAAATTGAAAAAATAGGAGAAGGGACTTATGGGGTGGTTTATAAAGCCAAAGATAAGTTAACTGGAAAGCTGGTGGCGCTTAAAAAAATTCGTCTCGAAACGTACGTCGATTATAATAAAAGTTTGAAATTCTTCACGTATAATTTTTAATGTATATCTTTGTCGGGTGATGTATCGTTTTCAAGCATTACTACATTAACCGCAAACTGAACATATAATACTTTTAATAACAATTTGAAGTTATTAGAATTTCAGTAAATGATTTTAATATTTGAAAACCTGTTAAACATTTTCCAGAGAGTATGTTTTTAATCTAAACAGATTTCCATTGAGATTATTTTTTTCTTTGTTAATACATGTAGAGTAATTAGATACTTAATTCTAATCCTAATAGGTAATTGTGTGTATATATACATATATAGTAATTTTTCAATCAACTTTTGACTGAATAGTCAATGTGTACATTACTTGTATATATGTCTAATAAATATATATCTCTAATATTTGTAAAAAGAAATAATTATTTTAATTATTAACATTATATAAATTGTTTATTTCATAATAAGAAAATAGTATTATGTTTTACTTTTTCAGTGTTCTGGGTATTAAATACTTTAAATCTATATTCAAATGATGTGCTATCTTAACTTAGGTAATAGATAATATCATATAACCCAAAAATTGTTATTAAATTGAAATCATATGTCTCTTCAGAACAAAAGTATATTTTTGTAGAACTAATAATTTGTTTATTCTGCACATATATTTAAGTAATTTGCACGTTTCTAAGGTTAGAGAATTATTGTTATATAATCATTCTTATTTAAACATATAAATAACTTTTGGAGATATTAAAATAAAATACCATATTGGTTGAGCTTTTGCTTATATGCATTGCTAACACGTCTGCTAACTTACACATTGGGGTCAGCTGAATCTGCAGGGGCCACGTTACACTAAATTTTCGTAGCACCACATTATTCAGCTTGTCCCATTGTGTTATGCTCAGCTGGTTTTTAATTTTAAACTTTTTGATTAATTTACCATATACCTAAATGGAATTTTCTTTTGTGTTTTCTTTTTCTAACAATATCTATTTATATAAAAATTTATAATTTTGTACTCATTAAATACTTTATATGATGCACTTAATATTTAGATACACTGAAACTAATTTGTATATCTTTATTGCTTTGTATGTAAATAAATATATTTATCATAGTTCTTTGAAGGAAAAGGATAATTGAATGTTGTAATCTATCATTAATTATCAACATGTGGCTAATAAAGTAATGTTAATTTATATCAGGGAAAGTGAAGGTGTACCGTCCACTGCTATTCGGGAAATATCATTATTAAGAGAACTTACACATCCAAATATTGTTCAATTATTTGATGTGGTAGATGGTGACAACCATCTTTACCTTGTTTTTGAATTTTTACAACAAGATTTAAAGAAATTATTAGATTCTGTCAAAGGAGGATTAGATCAAGCTCTTGTCAAGGTATTACCTTAAGAACTTATAGTTCAAACTAGGTGCATGCATTATTCAAAGACAGATCTCTTATGTTTGCAGAGTTATTTATATCAGTTATTGAAAGCGATTTCCTTCTGCCATCTTCATTGCATCTTACATAGAGATCTAAAACCACAGAATTTATTAATAGATCGGGAAGGTCATATAAAATTAGCAGATTTTGGATTAGCCAGAACATTTGGTGTTCCAGTTCGGACATATACTCATGAAATAGTAACTCTTTGGTACAGAGCACCAGAGATACTTTTAGGAACTAAATTGTATTCCAATGCGGTAGATGTTTGGAGTCTAGGTTGTATATTTGCAGAAATGGTAATGTTATATATAATCAATATGAATTTAATGATTTTTAGTAAAATATAAATTATTTATTTAGTAATTTTAATCGGACATCAGTGCGATGTTGCAAGGGTTAATTATGAATTTAATTTTTTAAAAGAGTTACGTTATTCTTGCAGGCGACTAGGAGAGCTTTATTTCCAGGTGACTCAGAAATAGATCAACTTTTCAGGATATTTCGTACATTAGGTACACCCGATGAGAATATTTGGCCAGGAGTATCACAATTGCGTGATTATACATCAATGTTTCCAAGATGGGAACCCCGATCTTTAGATGAAGTTGTACCTTCCTTTGATTCTGATGCCAAAGATTTGCTTTTGGTAAGACTCACTTTGATAAAAAATAAATATTGAATTTTTAAAATTTATATTAATTTTAATATTATATATTTTACAACAGAGACTTCTGACTTACGACCCCAATCAGAGGATAGCAGCCAAGAAAGCATTAACCCATCCTTATTTTACTGGAGTTGCATTAGTTCCACCACCGTTGCCAAAGAAAACTTGATCTAGATACTTTCTAATTCTTTATTACAGTAAACTGCTAATAATATAATTATTAAAGTTATATATTTTTGAAATCTTATATTAAAATGTATTTTTAATTCCGAATTCATGCCGAACACATTTATATAATGAAGATATATTTTGATATATACATTAAAAGTCACTTATATATATTTTACCATGTGTATATTACTTTAAAAATTGTTATACCTTTAATTACTATTATTCTTTATAATAGTATACTTATACTATACTATAGAATAGTTGATAGTACGTAAATAATATTATTTTCGTATAATCAGCAAAATTTCATTCTGTGATATTAAGAATTTTAAATATTACATTTTCCTTCAAAATGCTTTTTTTTACTTTTATAGTAGTTATTTTACAGTAAAAGGTCAGAGATTGAAATAGGATTGTTTTTATTAGAAAGAAGTAAACTTGTAAATACTTTAAGTCACTTATCTATTATCCATAAAGTAATTTATGTTAAGAATTTTATTTCAAAATAATATGAAATTCTTAAATCAGAAAGTGCACATCTATTAGTTCAATGTTGATTGTTTTGCTGGTTTCAATATATATTGCAAGTAATTATTTACAATCTGAGAAAATATTTTTGTTAAAAAATCTTGATAATTAATAAATTTATTTTGAAATATACGAAACACGAGATTTAATGTGTAACACGTTCAGTTAATTTTGGTAAACTTATTTTAGTACTAATTTCAGAAAGTGTAGCAGTTTCCTGCGGGATGGGAGAAGGTGCCAATTTTGGAAGCCGTAATTCTTTTGGCGATAATTTTCCAGACATCTGAGAGGAAGATTTGTCTGGACTTTTTATTCGAAGACTGTTAGGAGAACGTGGTGAATTAGGAGATTTAATTGCTCTCTCTTCTGGAGATTTTAATGAAACACTGCTAGGAGGACGTGAAGAAGTAGGTGATTTCGCCACTTTTTCTTCTAGATTCTTCAATCGAGAACTAGGAGGACGAGAAGAAATCGGTGATTTTGTCGTCTTGTCTTCGGGATTTTTTAATTGAACGTTATTAGAAATAGACGGAGAAACGGGTGATCTCGCTGTTCTATTTTCCAGATCCTTTGATTCAGAATTATTAGAATTTATAGGGGATTTTGCTGTTTTGCCTTTTATTACGTTTTCATCTTCTGAACTCGGACTCTTCTTGTTTCGATTTTCTGTCTCTGTAGTTTGAAGAGGCGACGCACTTCTTTTTAATCCTACTGTTTCAGGAGATTTTGCCAAACTACTTCTGACTGCTTTAGGAGTCACCATAGATGGTGATCGTAGATTTCGTGCTTTTGTTGGAGTACTTGGTGGCGGTTGTGGAAAGTCATCTTTTGTCTGTTCGCCGGAAGAATTGATCTGTTCAACTAAATTATCCTGAAAAGTCCAGACTTATATGTAATTTATTGTATTATTTAAAAATATACAACGTAAAGCCATATTGCATATGATTATTGTAGATTTTGGTCTTCAATTTACAATTAACACTAAATATATCACGTAGATAAAATGATCGATTTTAAAAATTTAATTACAAATTTTCATTACTATTGTTTTCGTCTATTTGATTTTATGACAATTTTCATATTATCCGTTTAATTAATTCTTCAAATTGTTATATCGTTTCATTTTTTTCAAGAAAAAGAATATATACAATTTGTCTTTATAATAATCCACTGCAACCGGTCATTTGATCAAATTTACGTTCCTTTCTATAATTATTTGCTTATCATTGTCAGTCCTAAAAACTCATTGTCAGAAAAGATCAGTAAAATTATCAAAACTTATTTTAAGTGTAAAAAATATTTAAGAAATGTATAATGAAGACACTCATGATAAACAGTAAGTGAAACATCTATTATTTCTAAATGAAAAAAGCTATATACTTGTTATTTTTCCATTGTTTCCCATGTTAAATGGACAATTACTTTCATTCAACTTGGAAAAATACGACTCCTTGACAGGCTGATTTGACCGGTTGCGGTAGAAACAGATATGTGAGCAATATATAATATATAAAATGTCGATACGTTCAATCGTTAAAAAAAAAGTAACATAAGAATAAATTTGATGTAATTCGTTATTGAAGTGTTATTCATGTGCAGACTGACCTTAATTCATAAATGCGGTGATTAGCAGCAATGCTTCTGTGTCCACCGAGTATTACATGTGAAGGTGAGATACACGCTTGGTGCTTATTATTATCCATATAAGAAAATTCATTGAAGGAACTCACTAAATATCTAAATACTAGAGAAATCGAAGTTAAAAGAAATCCTTTCTACTGAATATTTTAGCATTAGCATTTTGTATATGCCGATAAAGTTTTGTGCTTTCATAAATTACGCTGTAACATGTGCAACAAAATAACTACTGATTATTAAACAGAAATAATGTGGTAACATGTGCATAAAAAACGAAGAAAAACATTTGTGTAAAAATTACGTGAAAGTTCCGTAAATTTCTCACTTTTTTCTGTCTTTACTCTATAAAAGAAATTGAAGATACTAAATCAAATATATATGTAATTATGTATGAAATTGCTGCCTTGCTTTTATAAAGAACTTACAGACATTATATGTGTAAATAATAAATAATATTTTAAGTTCATTAATGATAAAAATTTAAATTGCATTCTACAAATATGTTTCCCTTAAAAGTTATTACATTCGCTTAATTTATGTTTACTTAGAATATATGTATATCTACATGTGATATCATAAAATTATACCTTCTTAAAGCACAAAAAAAAAAAAAAAAATTACCCGACGAGAAGTTTTACGTAACGAACAAATTACAGTTCTCATATATTTTTTGTGATGGAGTTCAATAAAAATACTGAGAATATAAATTTAAAAACAAAAATATTATTATAGTGGTTCTCTTGTTACGTCTGACAACATGCCGAAATGTTCGTTATACAATAACACTTGTACGACGTGATTATTTTGTAACAATGCGGCAACTTAATATTATGCATATGTTATTGGGTAATTAGTGAAGTTGAAACGTAGTAATCAGTATGGATGCGATAAACTGTAAATAATACTATATATACTTTTCTTCTAGCATAGATCGTATGAGTTTTTGAAAAGTGATGAGGAAGAGAGAGAGAGAGAGAGAGAGAGAGAGAGAGAGAGAAAGAGATTTCCCTGAAACACTTTGCAATTTCAGTTTCCAGTTATTTCGCTCTTTTTTCTTTCCATTGGCGTTATTGTTTTTCATTTCTCAACTGACTGTAGACCAGCTATAGGATCTAAATATTTATTCTGATGTATACAACAAATAGAGATAGTTTATGTTATCTACAGTAACGATTACGAATTTATCGTATTCTATCATTTAAATACAATATGAAACGTATTCGGTGGCAACCATGTGAAATATCTTTTTTTCACTCGATGAATTCACGATTATGGTTGCAGACGCAGGTTTCTGCTGCCGTTTGTATCTCTTTTGTTTGATGTTTCAATGGGATTCTTCTAACCGATCGGTGCAAACATCCGGTGTTTCTCCAATAAATCGACGCTCGACGTCGTAAACGTCATTCATCAGTAATTCATATCTTTAAACTCTGTCTTTCATATTCATCGCCTGAATTTGTTATTATTGCGAGAAAAATTACTCATGGATTCGAGCACAAATTCTTCGTTAGAATCGAGCATACGATTTATGTTACACGTGATGTGAACGTCGTAAAATAACTTTTTTCCTAGTGGTTAAATCTCCGCTAATTCGGTAAAAGAAAGATACTATACTTGATTTAACTCTTGAACATCAAGGGGTAAAACGAAAAGGAAGTGGATCGTATGCTGTGTGAAATTATTCAATTTTTATAGCGTGCTGTAAGCTGAATATAAGAGAGAGAAAAATTAATGGAAAGTTTGATACTTGAACTGATACTTGAACTACATATTAGTGATGAATATTATGATAAAACTGATTTTTTTCTTTTTTCGATATTTCAAGAGTTAAAATAAATCGATTTAATTGAAGCGATGTTTGATGAAAAATGCTGGAAATTATTCAGATATATTACACAGAGTGTATTACAGAGAATATTACAAAATAATTTTCCTAAAATTATTGAGATTAACAAGAAAATTTATTCTACATATATCTTCTACAGATATATGTAGTTATATTTACCTGTAATTTGTAAGGGTTCTCACAGAAGAGTTAAATTATAATAATACATAAAAGTATTCTAAAACAATAAAATATATTCGAAAATGCAAAAGCTGTATTAGAAAAAAAAAGATGAGAAACTGTTTCTTAAATAAGTTAAATATAAAATTAAATAATCCCAAATAACAGAGAAAGATCTTCTTTTAATTTTAAAGGAAATAATTTGTAATATTCTTCATACACGTTGTATAAATATATGTCATGTACAGAGTGTATACAAGAATTTCATTTTCCTAACTTTAATGTATTGTCAGATATGTAAAGAATATATTTATTAAAAAGATTTGATGTCGAATGCATGTATTGTTAAATATATAACTACATTCCAAACTGGTTAATTATTATTCAATAAATATACACTCCGTACATGTTTTCAGTAAATGGTGATGCACAAAGATAACTAAGTTTTTTAATCATTAATATCTTTTCTTTTTTTAATGTGATTATATGATAACGTACAATTAATATTATTATTTCAAACGAATCGATGCTTCTTCAAGTAGGCAAGAATAAAAATAATAATCTGTGCATCACCGTATTTCATCCTTTTTTTGCCATATTTCAATTATTTTATATATATATATATATATATGTATATAAAGCATGTAATATATAAAGCATGTAATGTCTATCTTTCTTTTTTAAATCCGGGAGTAGGCGAGTTTAGGTAAACCTTTAATACTAAATACGATTACATTCATAATGTTTAAATGTATTTGCTATATGTAATTGCACAATGTAATTACACTGTTTTCATTGTAAGTTTGATTATTTTTTTATTCGCAATATTGTTCTTTTCTCTTACTATCATCAATTTTGTGCCTTTTTACGTAAACTGAGGTTAATCTTAGTTTTCACAAATTGTAATAAGAAGCTTAATCTTATTTGAACAGTAGATGATCAAATTCTTTCTATGGTATTAAACAATTTTAGCAAATTGTCACTGTCTGCAATTTTCTCACATCGCTTTTATTTCCTACAATTTCCTATAGTTTGATCCTTAGAAATCAGATATATTGTAGCCGCATTTATTTATACTAACGTTAATCGAGTGATTACGCCATAATTATATTCATGAACGTACCATAAAAAAGCTAGAGTCGAATTTAATTAATCGCGCAAACAGCTCTACGAGCTAGTATTAATATTACGGTCAGAATTATTTATTAATCAACGGTATATTTTTGCGTTTCGTTACCATAGAACATCCAAAGCCTTGTTTAGTACAACAGTTAGCTATTTACACTATAGCTGAAAATAATCACGTCATCTTAATTCTCGTAGGTTTAACAAAAATACACCTACTCTCGGCCTCGCGAGTTTACAAGATTAATCGATTTCGAACGATGGGTTTGATATTATGCAATTCGTACAATTGTTTTAATTGCCGTGCTAGCGTGAGACCGTGTTCTAAGTGATTATAAAAAAATGAGAATTCATTTATTTAATTAATTAAACTTAAGCGTATCACGTTGCCGCATTTCCTTTTCAGATCGGAAAAATATCCTTGAGAAAAACATCCAAGTCTTAAAGTGGCTTTTATCACGATGTATAAGTCATAGCAAAGAACTGCATAGTATAATATTTTGCGCTCTTACATCGTGGTAGATATTGTTGCGAATGACAATTGGAAGGAAGCATAGTGTCTTTTACGTGTTCTTATCTAACATTCAGCTTCACAATGAAATCGACATGTTCGTACATTTGTAAAAATTCGAGGAATCACTGTTTCGATGTGTCGGACAATTATTAATAGCTATTAGACAAGTATTAAAATTATTCCAAGTGATACACGATTGATGTCGTCTGCGTTCGATCGATATGAAAAGTGTTGAAAACACGTTTTTCTTCTTTTTTTTTTTCCAATCTGAAAAGACGTCGCGGTCTGTCCGAAGTGGTTTCTCGAATAAATGCGTCAACAGGATGGAGAAAATCATTTTGCCGGCGATCGTGATGTTACGCTAAATACGTATACACACGTCGTGTATGTTATCGATCGTATAAAGGGGCACGTGGCAGCGAGGAATAACACCCCTTCGCTTTTCGCCCCTTCGCTCTCTCGTTTCCATCGATTAAAGGGCAAAACTCGACGCGAAAAAACGTCGTCCCCTGTATGGCACGTAAAAAATCTGTCAGTCGTCGTGTGACACGAGACGATCGTGATGATGTCAAACGTGATGTCATGCCGAACCGATCTGTCTGTATTTTCCATTAATTGATCAGTGAAGTCATATGCGATATGCCAGGAGAGCGTCACGATGAAACAAAACGATCTTCGAACGACTTCGCTCGCGTTCCTCACGGTTTAAGAACAACATGCTCGCAGTGTTTCGACTCCATTCAACAACGGGTCAACATCGGCAATGCCCTTCGACTCGATGATCGGGAAGGAAGAGATTACGGGTGATTAATCAGACGCAAGTGACAAGGAAATCGGGTCTAGCGATCGAGTTTTCGTGATCTAGCATTCCTGGTTCAGGTTCTCGTCCGATGTAGGTAGACCGTTCTTGCCGGCGGCGACCGTGCCAGGGGGCACAGGGCTCTGCGGGCACAACACACAGGATTAAGGTGGCCCAATAACCTCCGCGTTAACAACCTTGCTAGCTCATTCTAGTATGGGTCACGTTTTAAACCTTTGAAGCAGTGATTTTCCTTTTTGCATCCAATTGTTATGTATTCACGTCGCATGTATATATACGTGGCATATATCATAAAATGTCGGCCAATATCGTATTAAGGATGTCGACCGTATTCGTGAGATAACGTATCAGCAACAACGTAATTTAATATCAGGTCATCGATATTTATGCCAATGTGTAACTTTATTAAATATCTTTGTCTGTACAGAAAGAGGCGATTGAAAAGAAAGATGCAAAGTACTCTGCATGAGAGCAGTTGAAAGTGTGCTTCAAAGGATTAAATGACCATTAAATATTGGTCCTAAGTTTGAAATATTTAAACCTTCTTTGATCATTTAATTATTTTGTATAATTAATCTCTTTAATAATCTTGAGATGTGTAACTAACAGATCATAGTTCATAGACCATGAAATTATCCCACAAAATACACTATTTAATCGTGTGTATCGTCGTCATTGGAAAAAATGTCAGAAACGTAGAAGCTTTTTTGGCTTACAATTCTTTGTCATAAAATGGAAAATCATAAAGATTGCAAAGGAGCATGCAACGCGTGATGTTAAGCTTTTCTCGTGAAAAAAATGGTGCAGACAAATGTGACACGACAAAGAATCTCGAGAAAGAAGATTTAAAGTTCCAAAATGTTTGTAAAATCGAGAGAATTTTTTCAAAATGTCGAATCAATCCCCCACGACGACTTTAATCCTTGAATCAAGATTATATGTCATATTTCATCCGAAATGGAATAATTATTTTTATTCTCGAGATTTTGTGAGATAAAACATACCTGTGATCCGCTGCCACAAAGGCTTTCAGGATTGGTTCCGCTTTGTCGAAGATAGTCTTTATCGTTGAAAATTTTCTTGTCACCGCCACCTGGCTTATGTTTCATATTATCCAACGAGCCAATTTTACTTTCAGCTTTGATATCAACCTTCTGTGTTTGGATCTGCAAGTAACATCAAAAGTTGGTTGTTATTATTAAATTCTTATGGCGAGAGATTGCCAATAGACGATTTATACAAGTGTAGACTCCGTAGTTAGAAACTTTAGCAACATGTTGATAACATAATAATTAATTAGATGCAAGATTTATAGCAATAACGTTCGAAAGACTCGTAGAAAAGTTTATAAACTCGTCTTCAATTCAAGTTCCATTCTCGTTCGAATCCTTTCGCATCCGTGCTTTCTAAACTAACGGTCTCATCTCTGCAACGAACATTTTACACTAATCGTAAAACATGCAGAAACATGCTTTAAGTCTTTTCAAACTGAATTTACTTACTAGGAAAGAGAAAGTACAAGTTCGATAGACCCGCTTTGCATTTTTTTCGTTAACGCACAAAAGCCACAGATATTTGTTAAATACGATCAATTGGTAGTCATTAGCTGAATCAATTAGTTACTCCCTTTCACAGTTTTGACACCGAAGCGGTGGATAGTTATCTCTGGAGAGGCTAACTAAGATATCGTGAAACTATTTAATATACTTACGTCGTTGCTCGGATCCTGAGGCGTCTTTGGTGGCGTTGCCGATGACTGAATATCAACAAACAATAATGACTTGTTAATAATGATGGGTGGCAATACATGCGACAACAAAAAGGGTAATCGTATGCTATAGCAGAGGGTCGTCTGTTTTTTTTCTTGATCAGGGAATCCAAGAGGTCGAAAAAGTATGAAAAAGATATTTTATTATAGTACTATACTCAAGATGTTCTCCCATTGAAGACAAACAACAAAACTAAATTCGACTAGTCGTTTTGTAGACTAGAAAAAGCTAACTCTTATTCTTTTTTTTTTTCCGGGAAAAGGGAACAATTTGTTTACATGTATCTTGTAAAAAGTAAATCTTGTTTTCTCTAAAAAGTTATTCGAAAATACTAATCTTCGGAGTAATGTAAAATGTACGATAAAAATGCACGTCTACATTAACATTCTACATGCAAGAGCTGAACAAAACTCGAAATAAGTAATTTCTCAGTTGATATATCACAACCCGTGC